TCATATAATTGTCTGTACTATTTTCTGTTACAACTAACATGCTTTTAAAGCACTGTTATTGTCAAAATATCTGTTAATCTTCTCCAAAGAAATATGATTTTACAAATAAGAGCTGACATCTGATTAAAAGAATGAGTAGAAATTGTGTGAAAACCCACTATTTCATGCAAAATCACATTTATTTTCACAGGCCTGAAACATCTTTCACTTCCTAATTTCAGGCTTGTTTTGATATGTTGACAGCTAGTGAAATCCATGTACATGCAGCATGAACAAGTTCTATCTTGTTTGTTTGTGTAACAGAAGAACAAAGCATTGTTTAATAAACATTCCAAGAACATGATAATGTCAACATTATCTGCTTGTCCCATTGTGCAAAGATAACTTTCTTGTAAATATTCTAAGACATTCTTAAGGTGAAAGGCTTTTATGGCTTGCCAAAATCAGACTTAGAGGCTCTGCTTGCTTTAAAAAGGTGTTCTGGGTGTTTATTATTTTTTAGGAATTCTTTCTTAGTTGAACAGTATGGCAGCATTTTGTCCCTCACCAAGGGCCAGGTAACGTAGGCAAGAGTATAGATGTGAGACATGCTTATACTCTGAAACTGCTTCTTGCCTTACACATAATAGAACACTTGAATTACCTTTTTTCTTAGATTCTATAGTTTGTAAAAATGCAATCTCAGTAGCTTCTGTCAAAATGAAAATGGGTGACGTGAACTATTGTGGACAAGTCTTGCAGTAAAGAGTAGATAAAGTTGACTGGTAGGCAGAATCCATTTTTGTTGTATCTGAGAGACTGTTAGGGTATATAGAAAGTATCTCTTACTCCTCAGTGCTGATTTCCATTATACCATGCTAAAATACCTCATACAGTTTTCTGAGGTGAAAAAAATAAGTGTAAAATTAGTCCAGCAGTTAGTTTTGTGCTCTTGTTTTAGAGAAATGCCTTTATAGGATACTACTGCTCTAGAAACCTCATTCAGAACTGGAGTCTGGGTTCCAGTGCGTGTGTATGAGGAGATGACCTTGCTGCACAGAGACTGTCTAATGGACGAATTGCAGTGGGGACAGCAAAGAACCAAAGGAAGGACACCTTAAGAGGAGGGCAACACTCAAGCTTCCCTCCCAAAGTGTCTGGTCAGTGTGAGGTGTAATGGGATTGGGATGGTAGGCAACAGTAGAAAAGGGAGCCTGTTGCAGTTTCATTTGCCAAACAGCTTAGTTGCCTTCTGTTCAAACACTTTTTTTCTTTGAAATATATAGCTTCCTTCCCCTCTGCATCCCTTGCCTTTTGTCTTTGAAATTGTGGTTCTCCTGCAGGCGAACATTGACTAAATGTCAAAAATAACTTCAAGCCATCATCCTTCTGCTTGACTGTAGTTATATTTGGAAGCTCCTTGAAGATGCTTTTTTTTTTTCCCTTGCTACCTCTTTGGTGACAGACCAGCTCTACAGGCTTATGAGCTAGTCAGTGCTTCTACAGCTTATTGGGGATTGGGAAGTCAATCGGACCAAGTATGGTCTCATCTATCTGAATAGACTGATGTCAGAAGTGATTCTTTTTTTCCCGAATGTCAATTTTTTTCAGGTAATGTGGATAATTACCAGAACATAAGGATGTAATGACTATATTTTTCTTCCAAGAATAAGATTTTAAAAGGGCACCTGTATTGGGTTTGTGTGGCAAGGTTTTGGTAGCGTGGGGGCTACAGGGGTGGCTTCTGTGAGAAGCTGCTAGAAGCTTCCCCTGTGTCCGACAGAGCCAATGCCAGC